GAAAGAAAGAAAGAAAGAAAGAAAGAGAGAGAGAGAGAGAGGAGGAGGAGGGAGAGGAGGAGGAGGAGGAAAGAATAGAACCTTTGATTGAGATATTGTTTCATGATGCGTCCAAGGATTGTCTCTTCTTCTGGAACTAGATAGTCCGCGCTTGGTTTTGGGTCTCAATGGGATGACAGCAGCTACTTCTCTTCGGGCAGGGCAATGCCGACCTAGGAGAGCGCAGGGGGCGGGGCCGTCCGCACTGGGCAGCAGGCCGAAAAAGTCAGGCGACTGTGAGTTGGAAGCAGCTAAGAGGGAGAGAGGAGCGCGACAGCGGGCTTAACCGCTCGCGAAAGAACATATCACAACGCCGCCAGGACTTGCCGTCGGACGCGGCCGTCCGCACTAGGCTTCGGGCGCCATCGTCGCGCGATCGTGAATTTTTCGACGCGGGGCTCCCCATATGTGCATTTCATTATCGCGGTAACTCTTTCCATAGGTAGACGCCAACGAACTCTCCGAAAGAAAAACATGTCGGGGCAACCGAATGGCCAAACCGCCTGAGACATCCCCACAAACTGGGCGCGAACGGGGCGAGGGAGACACCCCCCTGCCGCCCCCCTTGGGAGTGCTGAAACCAGCAACTCGCCTGGGACACCCTCCTAAATCTGCTCCGACAGCGGACATGTCGGGGCAACCGAATGGCCAAACCGCCTGAGACATCCACACAAACTGGGCGCGAACGGGGCGAGGGAGATACCCCCCTGCCGCCCCCCCTGGTAGTGCTGAAACCAGCGATTCGCCTGGGACATCCTCCCAAATCTGCTCCGAAAGCGGACATGTCGGGGCAACCGAATGACCAAACCGCCTGAGACATCCCCACAAACTGGGCGCGAACGAGGCGAGGGAGATACCCCCCCACCGCCCCCTTTAAGAGTGCTGAAACCAGCGAAGCGCCTGTGACACCCTCAACTTCTGCGTATAAGACCTACTAAGGATTAGTAAGTCTGAGTGATGACTGAGTCTGAATGATGACAGATCACGAGTAGGCCTGAATGACGAGTAGGTCTGAGTGACGAGCGAGCATGATGAGTGTGAGTTAGACAGTATGATGGAGAGATGAGTGGGTCTGAGCGGTGAGTGAGTCTGAGTGATGTGTGAGTCTGAGTGATGACTGAGTACTGAGTTGATGAGTTGATCAGTACTGGTTCTGAGTAACGATGAATGACGCCGAGTCTGACTGATGAGAGTAAGTCTGCGACTGAGCCTGACTGGTGAGGTGGATTCCTGTGTGCGTTCCTCCGGCGCGGTCCGCCAATCACAAGAACCCCATCTTAGGACATGGGGGAAAATACACTGCGCCGTCAGAACTTGCCGCGGGGCGCAACCTTCCGCACTCGGTTTCGGGCCCAGGCGCCCGCGCTGGCGCGCGGTCGCGCGCAGGCGACACATGTCGAATAAGATAGAGAAGTCACGCCCAATACGCATGGGACTTGCGCTTGCCATGCAAGCGCATTCGTCTGAGGCCGAACGCGCCGGCCACTGTCTCGCGACTCGAGTGGCTGCTCAGCCGCCCGCCACCAGGCAAAATGGCATCGACTTGCCGAATTCCAAATCCCAGTCTGCCGCCGCGGACCGCGGCCATAAGATGAGAGTAGATGTCTCCGACCGGCACACTGGGCCAACCCAGGCTCCGACGCCAGGCGTCGTGCTAACCCTTCCGCCTCCCATGGGCGCCGTCCTCCAGGAAGATGTGCACGATGGCCCTGCTCCTGCCCTGATCCGTCGTCCTCGTCGTCCTCGTGGTCCTCGTCGCCATCGTCGTCGTCGTCGTCGTCGTCGTTGTCGTTGTCGTCATGGTCGTGGTCGCCGTCGTTGTCGTCGTCGTCGTGGTCGTGGTCGTCGTCGTCGTCTTCCTCCTCCTCCTCGTCCTGCTCCTCCTCTTCCTCCTCCTCCTCCGCCCGCTCCTCCTCTTTCTCCTCCTCCTCCTCCTCCTCCTCCTGCTCCTCCTTTTCCTCCTCCACCTCCGCCTGCTCCTCCTCTTCCTTCCTCCACTCGTCCTCCTCCTACTCCTCCTCCTCGCCTCCTCCTCCTCATCCTCCTCCTCCTTCTTCTCCTCCCCCAAAGGCCTCCGAGCGAGCGAGGCAATCATCATCATCATCATTATCATAATCATCATCATCATCATCATCATCATCATCATCCTCATCATCATCATCATCATCACCATCACCATCAGCATCATCATCATCACCATCATCGTCATCATCATCATCACCATCATCATCATCATCATCCTCATCATCATCATCATCATCATCATCATCATCATCATCATCCTCATCATCATCATCATCATCATCATCGTCATCATCATCACCATCATCATCACAATCATCATCATCATCGTCATCATCACCATCAGCATCATCATCATCGTCATCATCCTACTCATTTTCATCTTCATCATCATCATCATCACCATCATCATCATTATCATCATCATCCCCTTCCTGTTCCTGCTCCTACTCGTGTTCACGTTAGCGTCCTCCTCCTCCTCCTCTTCCTCCTGCTCCCCTTCCTGTTCGTGAGCTCCGAAAGCGGGACATGTTGGGGCAACCGAATGGCCAAACCGCCTGGGACATCCCCACAAATGGGGCGCGAACGGGGCGAAGGAGATACCCCCCTGCCGCCTCCCTTGGGAGTGTTGAAACCAGCGACTCGCCTGGGACATCCTCCCAAATCTGTTCCGAAAGAAAAACATGTTGGGGCAACCGAATGGCCAAACCGCCTGAGACATCCCCACAAACTGGGCGCGAACGGGGCGACGGAGATACCCCCCTGCCGCCCCCCTTGGGGGTACTGAAACCAGCGACTCGCCTGGGACATCCTCCCAAATCTGCTCCGAAAGCGGACATGTCGGGGCAACCGAATGGCCAAACCGCCTGAGACATCCCCACAAACTGGGCGCGAACGAAGCGAGGGAGATACCCCCCCGCCGCCCCCCTTAAGAGTGCTGAAACCAGCGAAGCGCCTGTGACACCCTCAACATCTGCGCGTAAGACCGAATAAGGATGAGCAACTTTGAGTGATGACTGAGTCTGAATGATGACAGATCACGAGTAGGCCTGAATGATGAGTGGGTCTGAGTGATAACTGAGTACTGAGTCGATGAGTTGATCAGCACTGGTTCTGAGTAACGATGAGTGACGCCGAGTCTGACTGATGAGAGTAAGTCTGTGACTGAGCCTGAGTGGTGAGGGGGGTTCCTGTGTGTGTTCCTCCGGCGCGGTCCGCCAATAATTACTCGACGCGGGGCTCCCCATATGTGCATCTCATTTTCGTGGTAACTCTTTCCATAGGTAGACGTCAACGAACGCCTGAGTGTGATGGGGCAAGAAAGAAAGAGGGAGAGAGAGAGGAGGAGGGAGAGGAGGAGGAGGAGGAAAGAATATAACCTTTGATTGAAATACTGTTTCATGATGCGTCCAAGAATTGTCTCTTCTTCTGGAACTGGATGGTCTGCGCTTGGTTTTGGGTCTCAATGGGATGACAGCAGCTACTTCTCTTCGGGCAGGGCCATGCCGACCTAGGAGAGCGCAGGGGGCGGGTCTCCTCCTCCCCCAGAGGCCTCCGAGCGAGCGAGGCAATCATCATCATCATCATCATCATCATCATCATCATCATCATCATCATCATCATCATCATCATCATCATCATCATCATCATCATCATCATCATCGTCATCATCCTACTCATCCTCATCTTCATCCTCATCATCATCATCATCATCATCATCATCATCATCACCATCATCATCATCATCATTATCATCATCATCCCCTTCCTGCTCCTGCTCCTACTCATGCTCATGCTAGCCTCCTCCTCCTCCTCCTCTTCCTCCTGCTCCCCTTCCTGTTCGTGAGCTCCGAAAGCGGGACATGTTGGGGCAACCGAATGCCTCAACCGCCTGAGACATCCCCACAAACTGGGCGCGAACGGGGCGAGGGAGATATCCCCCTGCCGCCCCCCTTGGGAGTGCTGAAACCAGCGAATCGCCTGAGACATCCTCCCAAATCTGCTCCGAAAGAAAAACATGTTGGGGCAACCGAATGGCCAAACCGCCTGAGACATCCCCACAAACTGGGCGCGAACGGGGCGACGGAGATACCCCCCTGCCGCCCCCCTTGGGAGTGCTGAAACCAGCGATTCGCCTGGGACATCCTCCCAAATCTGCTCCGAAAGAAAAACATGTCGGGGCAACCGAATGGCCAAACCGCCTGAGACATCCCCACAAACTGGGCGCGAACGGGGCGAGGGAGATACCCCCCCGCCGCCCCCCTTAAGAGTGCAGAAACCAGCGAAGCGCCTGTGACACCCTCAACATCTGCGTATAAGACCGAATAAGGATGAGTAAGTCTGAGTGATGACTGAGTCTGAATGATGACAAATCACGAGTAGGCCTGAATGATGAGTGGGTCTGAGTGACGAGTGAGCATGATGAGTGTGAGTTAGACAGTATGATGGAGAGATGAGTGGGTCTGAGTGGTGAGTGAGTCTGAGTGATGTGTGAGTCTGAGTGATGACTGAGTACTGAGTTGATGAGTTGATCAGTACTGGTTCTGAGTAACGATGAGTGACGCCGAGTCTGACTGATGAGAGTAAGTCTGTGACTGAGCCTGAGTGGTGAGGTGGGTTCCTGTGTGTTCCTCCGGCGCGGTCCGCCAATAACAAGAACCCCATCTTAGGATATGGGGAACAAGAACCCCATCTTACGATATGGGGAAGAACCCCATCTTAGGATATGGGGAAAAAGGAAGCAGGACCAAAGCGGCGCCAGAAACAGCACAGAATAGTAGCAGTATTCTGCTCTCCATCCAAGCACCTGCTGAACTCTGAGGGTGACGGCATCAAGGCCAACGGTGAGGAGGGGTGTGATGCCGAGGCCGCGACGAGAGGGCTCACGAGGCAACTGAATGACACCAAAAAGCGCATGCCAAGAGGAAGACGCTGCTGGCCTCTCGGCTTCAACTGCCCTGCGTGGCCCGGCAGAAGCACACACGGCTACCAGAAAGAGCCCTTCAAATGGAGCCAAACTGCGTGGAGCGCGACGCGCTCGCGCGGAGGCCATGAGGAGCGGGCGAGCGACGCGCGAAGCCGTCCCCGGGAGGGGACGGCTCGCCAGCGGCCTGCGCGGGGCGACCCTGGCTGCTCGCCCGATCAGCCGCAGGGTTCCCTCACGGTGCTGGGCAGAGGTGCTGATGAGACAATTGTCCTGTCGGGGGGCAAGATCGGGAGGCACCCAGAATGGGCAGAGACCAATCTTCAATGCTCCTCTTTTCCTCGATCCACACCTGTGGTCAGTACATGCCGCTCGTGGCCTCCGCCACCCTGAGAGGAGCCTGGGGCCCCCTGGTATCCTACACACCTCTGAAGTCTTTTGTTTGACATCAGGCTCCAGCGCACTTTCGACCTCATTCGGGCTGTCTAGTGAGCTCGGCCTTTCCTAAAACCGCGTTTCTGATATCCACTCATTGGAGTTGTTGGCCTGATTATGTTATGTTGTTTTGCTTCGCATGCATTCCTACGACGTGCTACTGATGCTGAGTGTGTATGCATTCATGAGCCAGGACAGCTCCGCTCCCAGAAATATTGCTCCATGAACTACTCCAGCACACAGCCTGATACTCGCTATCGCGCATCTCCTGCACTCACTCCCACCACGCCGAATGAGTGCATCCACCCTCCTTTGGCGCCTTCGAGCCGCCTGCCAAGCACAAAGCTCGAGGAAGACCGCGCGGCGGGACGTCAAGGGACGCAGCCGGAGAAGACCGATCTGTGTGGACGCCCCTCCGCGACGCGTGCAAGCAGCACTTTCTGTTCGCCTCCTTGCCCCTTTCAGCAAGTCCCGCGAAACCCGCCCGAAGCCGCCGGTCGAGGCGGAGCGGCGGCAGGGACACCGAGGAGATGGTCGTGCGCGGAAGAGGACGAGGACGAGGACGACGACGAGGACGAGGACGAGGACGACGACGACGACGACGACGACGACGACGACGACGACGACGACGACGACGGCGGCGAGCATGAGGGAGGACGACGACGAACGACGGCGACGAAACGAGGATGGGGGAGCAGAAAGGTACCCATATCACTGCTCCCTGGACCTCTCCTAGGGTGCATTCTGAACAGGACTTCGAGGTAAATCCAGCCGTGGCGGCGAGGGACGGGTAGCGGTATCGGGATGTCTTCCTCCGCCGAGACCAGGACGACGACGACGAGGACGACAAAGCAGGAGGCAAGATCAATCGGCATCGAATCGGTAAATCGGGTTTGATCGGAACGCGAGTCGGATCGGGCCGAATCGGCACGGAGTCGGAATCGAATCGGACCCGCCGCGCCAGGATGCACGAGAGAGCAATGCAGACATCGAGCCGCATCTGATCGCGGGAACGTCGGATTCGAATCGGGTTGGGCCAGCCAGAATGAACATCGAATCCACTTTCGGGTCATAGCTGGGGTCCCTGGCGGCCATCCACGATCTCGGCGAAGCGCAGCTGCTCGAACGCATCGTGAGGCAGGAAAACGTCCAGGAATCGACGAAAGTGCCCGAAAACCTCACGGAACAGATAACGAATCCATACCGCCCCTGGGGGTCCTCGGAGGTCCCTGGAGGCTCCCCAGGGGCTCCCCGAGGTCCCCGGATATGTTCGATTATACTCGCGTCATACATTACCCTGGCGACGCACCCAGCCCCTGCGCAATGCGGGGCACGAGTAGCTTGGGCGACTTTATAAGGGGGTGATGACTTTATAACGGCAGTCCTCGATCCCCCTCGCCGTCCTCCTCGAGGAGAAGGAGTAAGTTTCCGAGGAGTAGCTCTTCGTCCCAGACACGGTTTTGAAGGTCCCAGGGGAGGAGAAGGAGGAGGGCCAGGGGAAGGCGGTGGGGACAGGAGCGGAGAGACAACGATGAGGAAGTACTCGGATTGAGAGAACTGCCGACCTGGTCCAAGAGGCTCCCAAGACAGCCAAGACGGCCCCTGAGGACTCCAAGATAAGCCCGAGGCGGCCCCGAGAGGCCCCAAGACGGCCACCGAAGGGACCACATGGCGCCACAAGACGGCAAGGCCCCCAAGAGGCCCGAAGAGGTCCCCAAGAAGCCCCCAAAAAGCCCCGAGAGGCTCCCTAGACGCTCCCAAGAGGCCCCGAAACGACTGGATTGCACGCGCTCCGGACGTGCACCCCGCGAAGCGACAGGACTCCACGTCCAGGGATGACGTGCTGAGCGGCGGCGTTTTTCGGCGAAATCCTCAATGCGACGTATCCAGCGCATCAAATCATTGTATAATCCCACCAGCCCTCTGGGCGAAGGTGGTCTAGAGCATGTCCGTTTCCAACCTCCCTGCATCCCCCCCCCCTCCTTGGGTCTGGACGCCGGGGGCCCGAGGGGTTAGAGGGTCCTTTTTGGCCCACGATGGCTCCAAGAGGGCCTCAGAGAGCGCAAGATGACCTCCAAGATGGCCCAAGATAGCTCAAGATGGCTCAAGATAGCCTCCGACACACATCCAAGAGGCCTCAAGGCTGCCCAAAGACGAATCCAAGTGCATTTCGAGCCTTCAACGGCACCCTCCAAGATGCCAAAATTCTTCAAAAGCCTGAGGAAAATCAATGTTTCAGGCATTCTCGCCTTTTCGCTTCCGATGGGCTTTGGCATCCTCAACATGGCCCCAAGTTGCCCCAAGAGAGCCCCAAGAGAGGCCCAAGAGGGCCCCAAGACGGCCCCAAGAGCGGCCAAGAACGAAGGGCCCAAGACGGCTCCGAGGCAGCATTTGTGAGCCTCCGAGAGGGCGGCGGGAATTGGGGGACCCCTTCTTTTGTAGCCATGGGGCCCAAGACGGCCCCAAGAGGCCTTCCAAGCCTCCCCAAAGAGCCCTAAGAGGGCTCCAAGACTCCCCAAATGAGCCCCAAGAGGGCCCCACGAAGGCCCCAAGAGGACCCCAAGAGGACCCCAAGAGGGCTCCAAGATGGCGCCAAAATGGCATTACGACGCTTCGAAGAATCCCTCACCACAATATATCCCCTAAGCCCGACTTCTCGTCCTCCTTGTCATCGTCCCCTCCTCCTTCTCTGTTTGTCCTCCTCCTCCTCCTCCTCCTCCCCCTCCTCCTCCTCATCCTCATCCTCATCCTCATCCTCATCCTCATCATCATCATCATCATCATCATCATCATCATCATCATCATCATCATCATCATCATCATCATCATCCTTTTCCTCCTCCTCTTCCTCCTCCTCTTACCCCCAAGATGGTCCCAGGCGTCGCCAGCACCAGCAGCACTATCAGTAGCACCAGCATCAACACCAGCAGCAGCGGTACCATAAGCACAAACTACAACGACAACACCAACAATACCAGCAGCTACAGCCCGACACCCTTCGCTACAAAAGCTCTCCCAACTCACCGGCGTTGCCAATCAAGCCGCCGTCGGACATCCGCGCCGTCCTTCCTCCTTTCCTGCCTCCTCCCTCCTCCTCTTTATCCTCTCCGTGCCGCTTTCCTGCTCTTCCTCCTCTTCCCCGTCCTCCTTCTCCTTTGTTCATCCTCCTCCTCCTCCTGTTTCTCCTCCACACCCCAAGATGGCCCCAGCAGCAGCACCGCCAGCAGCAGGAGCACCACAAGCAGCAGCACAAGCAACAGCAACAGCAACATCAGCACCAGCATCAACAACAGCAGCGCCAGCAACAGCATCATCTGCAGCTCCGGCAGCAGCACCAGCACCTGAGCAATTTCGAAACGCACGCGAGTTTAAGATACAAATCAGTGCAAAGGTTAAGATCAAGGATGTCCATCGAGATGCGACTCTAATCTGCGCGCCGCTGGCGTCGGATCGTAGATACAGGAACCTGCGCCAGAAACGCTTACCAAAGGGAGCACCATGGCGCATCGCGCACTGATTTCTGTCTTAAATTTCACTGCGCCGAACTATTTGTGATCCTTGTTTCCTGGTCCAGGGTGCTGCCCACCCTGTTTTGACGTTTCCAAAACAGCTGCGCGGCCGCGTCCTTCCAGGCGTCCCTGACTAACCAACTCACCTGGTAATCGTTTCTGGATGGGCTGGTGGGGATACGCGAAGCGCCAAGAATTGTTGCAGATTGTGTTGGTTGATATTGCGACGTAGCCCCCGTGGCCCCACCCCGTAGGCCATGCCGCATGAGCCGACCAGGGTGTCCCCCCATCTCTGGGATTCAAAACATCTAAAAACCGCTAGAAAAGAAATGAGTTGGGTCCCTTGGGCCTCTCAGATACCGAAGAGAGCGTCAAGACGGCGCAGGATGGCCCCAAGACGAAACAAGACAGCCCGAAACAATCCAAGATGGCCCTAAAAGGGCCAAGAAGGCCACAAAGACGGTCCAAGAGGGCTCCACGAGGGCTCCACGAGGACCCCCGAGAGCGCACCCAAGGGTGCAAGGGTGCAAGGGTGCCGGCGTGCGCCGAAGCGCGCCCTGCGCGGGCTGCCGGCGCGCCGCCTGTTGCCACAGCTAATTCTCACAAGCTTCTCGCAACCACTTCTCACAAGCTTCTCACAATCCCTTGTCACATCCACCCCTGGCAAAAACATTCTCACATGTTGACATCGTCTGACCAGCGTTTCAAGGGTCGGCCTGGCGCCCGGAATCCACCCGGCGCCCAGTCGAGCACGGCTTTCGACCGCCTACCGTCGGCGCTGTCGATGGCATTCCGCACGAGGTGCCCGTACGGGACCTGTGACACTGCACCCATGTGCGCAGACCTGTTTCCTCATACTCGGCCACAGCTTTATGGGTTGCACGGACGATCCAATCAATGCATGACTCCTCCACCTCTCCCGAATCAGTTGCCCACATAGGTGGCGTCGCAAGAATTGTTCGAAGCATTTTTCTCAGCGCTGTCTGTAGTTGTGCTTCCCTCGACGCCGCCAGGGTCCACATGCCACTCCCATGCAACAGTCGCAGTCTGGATCGCAGAAGATAATGTTCATTGCAGAGCACAGCCATAAGATTGCCGCCCAGCCCTCCCCAGCCGCCCAGCCCTTCGAAATTCGGCGCTGCGATTCAACGT